TCATGTAGCACGGCGAGGTAATAGTTAGTGAAAATTATACCAGCAGGTATAAATTGAGGGTTAACGGTAATACGTAATTTTTTAAAACAGTTTTCCTTAACATAGCGAGGTGCTTGTGTGAATTGGTATGCAGCAAAAGTGAAAGGATGTGGCTTGAGCCGATCAATATAGACGTCACTCATGACAGGCGCTACAGCCGGAAGCTGAAGGTTTGTCCAGCCGGAACTTCCTTTATGTCACTGTTGCTGTACATTGCCCAACAATGAACATTTTTATCTGTTTTTATTAGCAAGTGTAGGCATTTCCGGTACGATCGTTTTGCAATTAAATCCATGCTCGGATTGGGTTCGAGACTTTCGATCTGTTGGGACAAGATCGGAGTACAGTGTTCATGCAGATTGAACTGTAGCAGTTGCTAAACCACTATAATGTACTCTGTTTAAGAGTCAAGACTGACTTTGTAGGAAGGGACTAGGGATATTGGTGACAACAACCACTTTAATGGACCTGGTTGGGTGCTAGCTGGTAATTGAGGAATTTGCGAGTTTATCTCGTTCCTTTTTTCATGTGGTCTAGACATATTATTGGTCTACCACGATTTTTTTTATGACGGTTGGGCTCGTACAACAGCCCAGGCTAAACAACAACTTGCTGAAGTGGTAAATTGTTAGGACTGTGCTCTCCTCATCCCAATAAAACCTCGGGTTGCGGATGTATTGTGTTTTCAGAGGCGTTAAATATAACTACAACTAAAAATTAGAGAAGGATGGGCAGGAATTCGTTACACTTTGGTATTGGCATCCGGCTGTTCTATAGCGTTGACATGCATGCACAACGGCCTTTTAGCCAACACAGTCTTGAGGAAAAAATGAACAACACGAGATATGGGTGATCGATCGATGCGGTTTGTCCAGGTACGGTCGGTGAATGTGTTAGATAACTAGGGGTTCTAGAAGTGGATCCGGTCTTTCCGGTTTTCTTTTTTTGGGGGGCCGACAACAAGAATTAAAGCGCTGCTGCGTTATGGCCGGAACGTATAAACGCCTCGCGCACGCACGCGCAGAACGTACGCTCCAGTTGGCGTCGGTTTGGTGTGTTCGGAGGCATTTTTTTGACCGACTCGAGGAGACGGGAGCCGACTGATCAGTCCGACTGCTTTTCTGCTGACGGTCGGCCGTCGGGTTGGTGTGCGGAGGCCTTTAAAGGATGAAAACAAAAGTTCCAGTGATTCCAAAAATACTTTGTTTTTATTCACCAACTTGCTGCTGTACATAATAATAATAATAATAATAATAATAAACAGACTTTTTTAAATATTACATTTAAATTACATTCATTGACAGAGTTTCATCCAGTGACAGAAACTATAAAACACAGAAACCAACAGGAATAAAACATTAAATATTCTCTTATTTTCCAAAAAAACAAAGATATAAAAGATTTTCTCGGTAAGATAAATAATAATAAACACACAAACAGAGACATCATCATTTA